CTATGTGTAATTCTAATTGTAATATGTTTTAGTAAGGTTTGAATTTTTACTTATCTTTTTTTGTTATTTACATAAAAAATTGGTCAGTGTTAATTTCATGCAGATCAGAAAAAAATTTACTGTGAATATAATTGATGTGGAGCTCTGACATAAATTCAGTCACACAAGAATACTGAGCTCCTATAATGTTATGATAGAAAAAGGGACAGGGGGATTTGGCCAGAAAATATGGACTGTCTCACCTAAACAGGGACACTTGTTCAAAGCACTAGAGTCCTGCAGAGAGTACCAAACCAGTGCTCTCTGCAGGGTCTTCCCCCAGTGGGCCGCTTTGTGGGATTAAAAGGCAATCTGGCATGAATTTACACCAGAGACCTGCCTGTCAATTGGGCTAATCCGCCTCCTTTGGGCGGAACCAGTGATGTCCACTTGCGTCACAATTCTTGGACTTGTTAGATAGGCATACATGCCCAATCAAACATGCAAACCTTACATGTGAAGTGATGATGACATAAACATAATCTCACACACATTTAATGTGTAGCAGCATGCCATTTTCAGTCTCTATCACACAGTACATATCCATCATATATACACATTATACATATATATGCAGGCCCAAACACATGTGCATTTACAAACATATTCTCACAGGCATTCCATACATATTTACAAAGCATATGTTTACCTTATGGCCTGATACTACACTCAAAAGGTTCAGCAAGGTGAGGCTCCATGTGTGTTGGGTCTCATCAAAGTGTATATCAGGCATGGAGGCATAGGTACTTTGATGGTCCTTTAGCATCAAGATTAAAATGCATTACTGAGAATGGGTTATAATTCAGTATACGGAAGAAGTTTGATTTAATATATCAAAATTCAAAAAGTGTCCATTGGCTGACTTGCTTATTCTAATCCCTAGGAATGCACTGCGTGTGTGGTTATTCCAGTTGGATTGCCTGAATAAAGTATTGGACATATAATTATCTCATTAGATTAAGAAAAGCACCCTAACCAGCAATAACTATTTTAAAGCAAACCTACGATATACAAGATAATTGAAATAGTACGTTGTTAAAGCTGTGCTGGTAGAGTGTTGTTTTCTGGGGAGAGATTTCTTTACTACTAACAAGCAAATATGCCTAAATTTTCCTTGTTACTATTGTTTTATGTAATCGTAAAACACATGCCTTAATGGAGCCCTCTTAATTTGGTAATAGATGATACTGTATTGTCTGTTTTTAAGAAAAGAGATTGTGATGTAAGATAAGAGACCTTCGATGAACATTCAGATAAGAGAACGTTGATGTAGGGTTTGAAGTTCATTTTTACATGTTAATTATTTGTTTTGTCTGGTTTTATGACCATTCTTTACATGTGGTTTGAAAAATAATGAACGAATTGTACGGTTCAGCACAGCACTGTATCTATCGCGAAGCTAACAAGGTATTTGTCTTTGGTGGCACTTTCCAGGGGGCAAAAAATGGTAGCTTTGGAAATTGTTATGTTAGTCATGTGTCATGAGGGCCCAAGACCTGGCCAGAGCTTCCTGCTCTTCTTGTTCTCCTCCCTAGCACACCCTGCTGTGATGCCTGGAGCCGGAATATGATATCACTTTGGTCCCAGCACCACTAAATAGCCGGCAAAGAAGCAACTTAAATTTAAAAAATTATAATTTGTGAGTGTATGAAAAAATGTGTGTCAGTATAATTGTGTGTGTCTGTCAGTGAGTGTGTATGTCCGTTAGTGTGTGTCTGTCAATGTATGTGGGTGAGTGTGTATGCTAGTGAATGTGTGTGTCTGTCAGAGTATGTCAAATCAGTGAGGGTGTGTTTCTGTGACTGTTTCAGTGTGTGTCAAATCAGTGAGAGTGGTGTCTGTCAGTGAATTTGTGTGTGTCTGTCATAGTGTGTCAAATCAGTGAGGGTGTGTGTCTGTCAGTGTGTGTATGTCAGTGTGTGTATGTCAGTGTATGCGTATCTGAGAGTGTTTGTTTGTCAGTGAATGTGTATGTATCTGTCAGTGTGTGTCAAATCAGTGAGTGTGTGTATGTCAGTGTGTGTCTGTCAGTGAGTGTACATCAGTGTATGTGTATCCGAGAGTGTGTGCTTGTCAGAGAATGTGTGTGTCAGTGTGTCTGTCAGTCAAAGTGTGTGTTGGTTAAACAGTGTGCGACTGTGTGTCTGTCAGTCTGTGTCTGTCTGTGAGTTTGTGTCAGTTTATGTATCAGTGAAGGCATTTGTCTGTCAGTCAAAGTGTGTGTTTTTTAAAAGGATGAGGTGCGGCCTTGCCTGGAAGGGCAAATTAAGATTAGGGTGGTTCAGTTATGCCTACTCCAGCACAAAACCAAAATACACCACTGGTTTAGCAGTCAAGCTTTAAGAATCTACATAGCGTAGTAGCCCAGAGCTGAACTGGCAGTTGTGAGTTTTGTGATTCTTGTACGGTGTGAAGGACTCTAGGGAAAGATGATTAACCTGTCTATCCAACAGTGAGTGCATAAGTGTACAATTATCCATGATCCATTCAGTTTCCTGGAGTGAAATGCTGTGTAATTATACCCATCATAGAATGTATGACTGGATGACATTATAAAGCGTGTTAATATTATATTTGAAAGCTATTAACACTCAGTTTGTGTTCTTTTTGATAGATAAACATTCTAATAAAATATTACAATGACCCTCGAAAGAAACCAAAAACAATGCATCATTGTGATTGGCTCCCCCTCTAGAGATGTCATCAGTTAGTAATTTGTAATTGCTTCAATACCACTAAAAGGGTTTGCATGTTAGTTGTGCATATAGATATACATTTATAAATATATATTACTCGACTTTTCAAAGTAAATAAACATGGGTTGCATGGCAACAAGAATTATATATACACGAACATGTGTACAGAGTAAGGGTTAGTATTCCATATTTTTACAGCCCATAGAAAATTACAAATAATTATTTTAAACCCACATAATGATTATTAAAACATACATTACCAATATTTGCACATCTCATTAGTGGGGCAGGAACCCACCCTTGTCAGAAACCAAAATTCTGTTTATAAAGCTGCCATCAAGTTCAACCTTGCTATAGCCCTATATAACATTTCCTGATGTGTAACTCCAAGGGACATGCTTTTTTTAAATGTAACACATATAAAGACCACAGTGAGTTTTTAGACATAATTTTGTTGTATGTCTAACTTGCAAGAATAGGTTCAATGTGAACAATACTGACATGTTTACAAATGTTTTATGGGTATATAAATTTAACAGATCACTGATGAGAGGTGACTGATACGATAAGGGCATATATTTACTATCTGTGTTGTGTTGCTCTGCCTCAATCTTTACAACCAAGCAGTCCACGTTTTATATAGTAATCTTTTAGTTTCTTGCAATACTAGTAAGGAATACAGCTAGAATGCATTATTCCACTAATTAGCTACATTCAACGCTGAAAGCAAATGTTCCCCAAACTATTGAGTTATAATGCCCTCATAACTATTCCCATAGTCATCCTCTCCTGTACAGGTACCAAAAAGCATTTATGATCAAAGACTTCTCATTACTACTAAAACAAAAACATTCTGTTGACTTTGTCACGTACAAAAGAATACCTCTCTTCACATTACTGACTTGGACATCAAGCCTCTTGAGTTACAAAACATGTGTCATGGGACATATAACCATGTGTCTTAGAGCATACATAACACACGCAATCCTTTACATTTCTCTAGTAATCTAATGTATAGCTTTAGAAGTGATCAAGTGAGCGACTAAACATTTTTAGGATTAAACCTCTAAGTGGTGCTCATACTAAATAGAGATTGTTTTAGTATAATATGTTGATTTCATGATCCTGTACTATCCGCCATAATAAGATCATGTACTATCCACCATAATCAGTAATGCATAACATTTTTATCTCAGCAAAATAAAAAACATAATATTTTTTTTTATAGAGTTGGATTACAAGTGCGAAACATATGGATTGATTGTCCATCATTTTGCTGGTCCTACATGATGGATGAGCTTGTAAAATGACCGACCAGCTTGTATCAATTAATTATGAAAATACATTAATTATATCCTGGCAATCCTTTACCATGGCCAGCATGTAGCTATCTACCATATAGAAAAGATGAGTCAACAAAGCACATCAAACCCTTTTCATTGCATTATGACATTTAATTAACATATAAAAAAAATTTCATCATTATTGAACTGATAAATATTGTTGACATCTGTCTTTTTCTAAACACCTTGCCTTTATATCAATTGACTTTTGCATCGTGCTGCCTCAGTCTGCTAGTGGCATATAATTCTATGTTTGTGTAATTATGCAATAGAAGTGGCAGTCTGCGCATTAGTTTTCTTGTAACAGGCCTCGCATCATTGCCCTGCACGGTACTGCTGAGCTTAGAATAATACTGATCTATCAGAGCAGACGTACGGCATGATGATCTTGTCAGTCTTATTTAGCTGGGTTTCTGCACAGGCAAGCGTTGCTTGGTAAGGTCAGCAGATATTAAACCCAATTGCGGTATTCAGCTGCTGTGCCGTTCCTCCAAGGAGCTCGTTGACGATGCTTCGTTACCTGCCTGATGAGGCCTCCTTACTTAGAGCAATATGCCAATGGCACTACAAAGTAATAGTTATCTTATTCACCCAAGCCAGACACATGGCCAGGGAGATAATATGTTTTTTAAGGCTAATTGCAAGAAATAAAAAAAAACTCTAGTGACAAAAAAAAGCTAAGAAATTAACTCTTTAATAACAGCAACACGATCTATTTGAGATTCAGATGTATGTGTATTTTTTTTTTTTTATAAATGCCAGATATAACATATTTCAATGGATGTTAAAATTGTTAGTAGTAAATGCAAATTGTGTTACAAAAAAAAAATACTACTTTTATGAAACTGTCTCCCAGTAAAAACGGTTATCTCGACATGCTCAGTTGATGGATCTTGTCCAAAGATGGGCATTGGGCAGAGTTAATGTAACAAATGTAGGTACTTCCACTAGTAATATCTGAAGAGGAACCTGATGGTGGTGCCCAAAGGACCCAAGGAAGCATTAAACTGTTTGAAGACTATTTACTGTCAGGAACACAATGCATCATTAGCACCATATTAGTGAACTCCTAACAAAAAAAATTGGAGGATGGATAGCAGCTCCATATTACCGGGCCTTAGAAGAACAGGGCTTAAAGCTTACAATAGAATTAGGAAGTATCAGAACTAATGCTAAAAACTAGGCCAGATAAAATAACCAGGGATAACTAAGGCAGAAATAAAACAGAAACAAAATCACAGTGAGGACTAGCTGGGCCATGGATACCAGAGACAAAAACAAGTCAATAGCTGTATCAAAACCAGAAAAATCCAAAAAACATGCAGCAAAAACATGAAGGGCCACTGGGCCATAGATTTCACAAGTTTATATAGGCCCAGCCCCTTGCCTCAGTTTCCCATGTTTGGTGCATGCGCTGTGTGTAGGATAGGATGCCAACAATGTAAAAAATATAAAAAGGTGCTAAGGTTGTGGCTTGTGTTATTTAGTTTGATTGTGGCTGATATGACGTGACTGCTACTTAGAAATAATGATACTTCATTCAAATCAACACGACTGTGGTTTGGGAATTGATATGGGTGCATCAAATATAATAGCGAGAACTTTGGGGCCATGGTGAGGTTGATGCAGGTGCATCAAATCTGAAACAAAGACCCTGAATGGACAGGGATGCCCCAAACATTGTTACTTGAATTCTTTGACTGTGACTGGATTAACACAGATGCATCATTTCAACAAACACAGACACATATAGGAAATAGTGAAGAAAAGAATACACAGCACACACATTAAAAACGATATTTACAAGTGTCCCAGTACATTATCATGTTATAAAAGATGCTGCTACAGTCCCATTTCTTACATATCTATTTTCCAATTTATTTTCTTAAGTTTGGCCCTCCCTCTACCTCCTCACTTTTGTCATTTATTATTTGCCTCCCATTTTCTCCCCAATTTCCTTATCATTACTGAGCACCTCTTTTCTTGCCGCACTCTCGTCTGTCCTCCAGCCAGTTCTTCCTCCCATGGGTTATATGAGCTGGAAAGAAATTTGCAGCCCTTCCCTCCCTCTGTCAGTGAGCAGCAGCTATGTTATAGACATCATGATGTGTGCAAGCGCTTTTTCAGTATTTTACTTTTTTGGCTTCTCTCCCGCGGCCAGGGCTTTTAATCTTTCAATACGTCCTGCAATTGTGCACATGGTGAGCAAGCTACTCTGGGTTGTGCTCTTTTAACAGGTCCGGCTAATCAAGCCTTGGCGTCCCCTGTGCAGTGTAAGCTTAATTCAGTGAGACAGCACAGTGCGGCGTGAGGATGTGTGAAGGTGGAGGAAGTACCGTCAGTGCCCTCCATGCAGACTCATTGCCAGAAACATCCAGCGAGATGGGGAAATGGGAGCCCCTGGCTTGTCAGAAAAGAAGAAGGAATTTTCCATGAGTGGCCATTAATTGCTCCAGTCTGTGGCTGCAATATGTATCTTGACATATCCATATAAACTGAGCACGGGCAGTACTCACTCTGCACCCTTATTTCTCTCCAGCACACAGGATAAACACCATTTTCTCATGCTTACTTTACTTAAGGCTGCAATTAACTCCTTCTGTGCACAAGCATACTGCAGCGCGAGCCTTTTCTCTAAATGGATTGACCTTGTAGCTCATTTATGGAAAAGGTAAATCAACATTCGGCAGATGTCTTTCATCTCAGCCATTTAATCCCCTTTGAGATTTGAGACAATTGAAAAAACAGGTACGTATATATGGGTTTATAGACACACACATATATATATATTAATATATATATTACAAAACGGTATGTGTCCTATAAAGGTGCATTAGTTTTTCCCTAATACAAGCTTTCTTTTTCTGGATCTTTTTTTATCACAAAGCTGGAAATTGAAATTCACTCTGAATTCACTTTCTCTTGATTGAATTTGCCTGTTAGAGAAGACCTATCATAGGAACTTGCTATTTACAGTCATTGCTATAATTATTGGCATTTATATAGCGTCAAGCTATTCCGCAGCTCTTTACAATATTATAAAGTCTGGAATTTAACAACAAATGAAACAAAGTAATAGAAATTGTGACAGGAACAATAGGTTGATGAGCACCCAGCTCGAATGAGCTTACAATCTAATCATCTTTGTGACGGACACGATTGCAGATTAGAAATATCACTGCCATTTATACTAATAAACCGCATCTACAGTGGGATGACTTCCATTTTACGTGGCGCGGCCCGTAAACAAATATGGCCGCCGACCACGTGATCTTCACATCACCAATACCACCTTATTTATGCCCATTAAAAAGCTTTGTTTTTAAACCAAACTTTAATATTATACTTATGTAATCCAAAACTTATGCTTGTGTTTTTCATCTATTTTGTATGTTAAAAAAAACGTAATCATGACGTCATTTTGGTGCCCTTTTTAAAGATGTACATTCCCTATTTATACTTGTACCTGCCAGGTTGTACTTTCTTATCTCCACTTGAAAAAGCCTAAGGGTGAAATGCATTGTGTTTTTTTTTTTTATATATAAGAGTATTGTTTTAATAAAGGTATTTTGGCCACTTTCTTACTGTGAGTTAGCCATTTTACTTTTTTACACTTTTATTCTTTTAGTATTTTACTACTATTATTACCATTCTTATTTTCTGACACCAGAAGTAATTTTACTTTCCAGTGAGGATATTACTCCAAAGAATCCTAGGTGGGGATTATACCACTCAAGCTGTATCCATTGAGCAGTTAGCTTGCTCAATCAAATGTGAGTAACCACTTGGTATTTTTATTCTCTCACCTCTGACTTTTTATACTTTGAGCACTATTGCTGTCTTTTTTTATTCCCCATATGGTTCCTTTATCAAGAGAGACTGCACAAACCTCACGTATCCCATAAGTGGGGATTGTACCACTGTACACTATCAACACTAGAGCTAAGTTCATAGCTCTATAAAACATGAGTAGGACCACAATTCTTTTATACTGCACTCTACCCCGTTTGGGACATACTGCACTATTAGTTTCCATTTCTTATCTTTTTCATATGAACTGCAAAGATGCACCTTTATAACTTTGAGGAAAACACCTACTATCAAATACTGTATCCTCTTCCACAGAGGATTCCTTGGTGTGGAATTTATCCACCACAAAGACATTTTATCACGGACTCTTAGTCTCTACCAATATATTCTGTGTTATCTCCCAGCTTGTTGTATTGCTATATATTTGCTATATATTTATTTTATTGTATTTTTAGTGACGCTATCTTCCTTTTATCTATTTTTAGTATTTATGTTATAGGGCTTGCGAGGGAGCCCTATTTTGTAGGTGTGCTGCCACCCATATATTTATCTTTTATTGTGTATTGTTTAGATAGAGAGCACTGATCCATTCTTTTTGTGTGTGTGTGTGTGTATATATACACACCGGTCTACACATATAATGGTTATGCCCAGAGATTGCCCTTTTCTGGACTATGGTAATATATATATTACAAAATGGTGTGTGTCCTATAAAGGTGCATTATTTTTTTCCTAATACTTTTTCTGGGTCTCTTTTCATCACTGAACTGGAATTTGAAATTCACTCTGAACTCTCTCTCTTGATTGAATTTGCCTGTTAGAGAAGACCAATCATAGGAACTTGCTATTTACTGTCATCACTATAATTATTGGCATTTATATAGCGCCAAGCTATTCCACAGCTCTTTACAATATTATAAAGTTTGGAATTTAACAAGAAATGAAACAAACTAATCGAAATTGTGACAGGAACAATAGGTTGATGAGCACCCAGCTCGAATGAGCTTACAATCTAGTCATCTCTAACACGATTGCAGATTAGAAATATCACTGCCATTTATACTAATAAACCGCATCTACAGTGGGATGACTTCCATTTTAATTAACCTGTTTGGGATTACATTGGAATAACTTTCCAACAGATATTATTACCTTGTTGACTTGTTCCATTACTTTATGTATATTTTTTATTTGTTTTTGTCAGCTGTAATTGGACTGCTCAGATTTATTATACTGATTTTACAAATACAGTTAAGGCTTATTTAAAAAAATAATAATAATAATATATATATTATTATTTCCCCCCTCATTATTCTGTGCACTTAAATATATATTTTGGTAATTTGCTGCATTCACTGTCCCCAAATTAGGCAAACCACCTTCATACCTTATGTCTACAGTATACATTCTGACTGGAAGCAAATTGAGAGCAGAGAAGTTGGCTAGTTCTTTGCTCGTCCATTCAGTAGTATAATTAACAATTTGCTTATGCACAGTTATGCTTCAAAAGTCTGCTTGATGTTAAAAGTACACTCCAGCACTAAAAATAAATATATTTATTTTAACAGTAAAGTTTCCTTGTGGTATTTAGATTACTGGGTCCTCCTTCTAAATTAAAAAAAAAAATGGTGAAAAAAACCCCATAAAACTCACCTGTAATTAGGGCCAGCACAGTATGTGTCACAGGTGAGGAAGGGGGTGTCTTACAGAGTATGGTATCCTCTACCTGTACTGAGAGGGAGCAGCTTGCTGTGACTGGAAGAGGTGGAGAATGGGCAATGAGCAGCTTCCTGTCAGACCGAGCTGAGGATAAAGAAGGCCACACTATAGAAAAGGGAGACACAAAAGAAGCAACACAATAGACAAGAGACACAAAATGTAAGAGAGACAGGGATATGGGGTAGGATACAAAAGTGAGATACAGGGGCCTAAGAGACATGGGGGATAAAAAAAAAATTGGCAGGACACACAGGGGGATAAGAAACAAAGGGAGCTAAGAGACATGGGAAGCAAAGGTGGATAAGAGAAACAGAGTAAGAGACAAAGGGGGAATCAACGGGTTCCGTGCCTGAAGGGGGGAGCATCGGGTAGCGGCTTATGCTGATGATATGCTGTTCTTTCTGGAGACCCACTGGTCTCCCTCCCCAGCCTCCTAAAACTCTTTGAGCAGTACGGTCAGATCTCTAACCTGAAACTGAACTTAGATAAATCGGAAGCCCTGGTCATAACTCTCCCACGGAACCTGGAAGACAATCTGTGAACACAATTCCACTTTAACTGGAACAAGACCATGATCCATTACTTGGGCACGTGGCTGCCTAGACTTGACGCAAACATATTTTGTGAACTTCCTC